ATGCGGAAGTTATTAGTGAAAGATATGTTTTGTTAAATGCTTGGTATTTACGTTTTCTACTTAAATCATATTAGTAGCCATAATTAATCTTAATCGTTCAGTGGGCTTCAGGTCCAGACATACTGGCGCAGTTGTCTTTACAAAGACATTCAGAGACTTCCTAGAAGGTTTTTGGCGGGGAAAACACAAAAATTTAAGAAATGTATACCTTACATATGAAGTCATCAAGAAAACGTCTCCAGTTTGTTGCACTGCTAGGCTATCAGACTTATCCATCGGAGAATTTGTTAATTCAGGTTATATTTTTAACTTTATTGCCACTTTCAAGAGCTACGGCTTCAAAATTTTACTATGCAGCATCATATTCATTTGGAATTTATTCAGCTTTGGAACCATGCCTAGCCGTCTAGTATAACAAAATATGTTAAGTAGTAGAATACTGAGCTTACCTGTGCCGAATGAAGGAATGGTTTCTTTTCGGGTGGGCTTATCTGCTCCAGGAGATATGCGTACACCTCGCAGTCCTATAGGGTCAGAAAGAAATGGGATGGTTAGAAGACTGTAAAAGTATCCTTAAAAGAGCGCAATCAGTGGGTTTTTATGTTGCGTAGCATTGCTTGTTAATGTTAATGTAAGAAAGGAATGCGTTAAAGCTCTAGTGAAAGACCATTCTCCTCAGCAAAAAGATTGAACTAAGTAAGGCTGGCTACAGTAAAAGATGTTAAATTCCCTGAAACGTCTTACAGGCAAGAATTCAGCCTATAGACGATATAAAACTCCCGATAAACGATTACCAGAGATTTGGCAGATTTCACTGATCCATTTGACTCAATTGTGAAACACTCAGCAGCCTCGGTAGAATTCGGACATACGTTAGTACCGTCAACGCTATAGCCAGCTTAACTATCGACGCCTTTCCAAGAACCTTCAGGTTAATCACACTTGGGTCAGCTTACTTCATCACAATCAATGGATTCCATACTTTACAGTAGGCTGGACAAGTCAATTTATCCAAGTGTGATTTAACTAACGGCTCCCAGTGGGGCCAGTTGGCCAGAGCGTTGGCTGTAGTAAAGATTTCCCTTCCTTTGATGGGTTCGAATCCCACTGAGGCCGCCGAGAGCACTGGAAGTTGAACCTTTGTTAATAGGCTATTGAGTACTGCTGCAACCACTCTACCTCTGACCCATGTGCTCCCGTTCTGTTGATACATGAATGATTGGTGTCGGAAGCAAGCCAGAAATGTCCATTTCGGACTTCTTAGTCTTTTCTCGATAACACTGTTTGATGAATTAACGGAAGCACAGGCCTTCCACATTCTTCGTTGTTACAGCCATCTTCTACAATCACAAAAATTCAAAACCGGAGTTGTGAGGGAAGACGTCGTAAAAATCAAATAAAATTCGTAATCTTTATGGGCAACACTGTGAGTTTTGAGTAATTTCACTTTTGTAATTTAGCTGGTGAATTTCCTCCCGAAATATGCTATGGTGTCAGGATGTTTTAGCACTAACAAAACTCGAAGGACGTGAAGTTCACAACGAATCCGCCCAAGCATACCAATTAGTAGTTTAGGGATAAGACGACTTCTGCAAACACTATCAGCGTAGATCAATGTCGCAAGGCGTTAAGAAGCCATCACATCCAAGCTCACCTTTAGCAGCTTTTTGGTCAATACTGACTATTTGTCCGACGTTGCCATGGCTTGCTTCATGCCTCATCAATTACCAGTGTTCTTTTTAAAATTAGGATAAAGTTATGATTGATTGGCAAATAATTTCATTATATTTCGAAGCATTAAAGTAAATACTGGGTTGTACGGAGCAAATATAAAGCTAAAGAACTCTAAATTTTATGCCATATATGACGATTTATTGTTTGCATTCCTGGTTGTTATGTGGAGCTGTCAAAAGGCGTACATAAACAATTAAACTACAAGGTCACTGTTTTTGCCATCGTGGCCGACATGAAGAAACTTCAACAACATGAAGTAGCTCATAACGTTGCAACGGTTGGCTTCTTTAATTACCGTTAAAAAGATATTGCTATTTAAAATCCACAATTTACACATAAAATTTCCAACAGCTTGGAAAACATTAGAAAATGCATTGTTAAATTTACGATTCCCTAAGAGTCGGCTGTTCTCGTGAGAAACCATTGTCCGCCGGTAGACGCCAGGACTAAAGTCAGCTTTCTGACCATCCTTGCTACACTTACCTCTTAGCGTCCGCGTATCTTAGAAACGTAATTTGCCGTGCAAAGTGTGAAACAACGAAGAACCGCTTGCTCGGCTCATATTACGTCCCAAAGACTTTGTACGTAGATTCAGCGTGCTTTCTTCCGACAATTTGTGGAGGAAAGTTAAGATTAAATGTAAATCGTGACTGCGTTATTCCTGGGCATGTATTTGGCAGTCAACTTCAACAAAAAAAAACAGTTTGGTTTTATCCCCTTCTGGGCTTCAAACTGCTTCCTGGTTTTAGGTTCAGAAAACGCTGCTACTGCTACTGGAAAACACGATAGTGTTGGCACGATTTTTGATGCTAAATGTCCACTAAATTACCCTAGTTTATAGTAGTTGCTGGCCTCACTAGCACGCATTTCCAATGTGCCAAAAGGCAGTTGTACTCATTTTAGCTCTTATCGAGTTGGATATTGTTTTGTGGCCTATCATTGTATTTTGAAGTTTGTATAAAGAGCAAAATTTACTGGATCCATTAATTTCGAGAGTGCTTATCAGTTGCTTCCTCTCGTTGCTTAACGTGAATAACGTAAGGGAAAATACAAATTGAATTCATACAGAAAAATCGATACAAACAGCAAAGTCATAGGAAATGGCCAAGATACTAATCAAAAGCGTAAGGAAGTTAAAACGCTGTGGGCAACAAAAAACGGTGTAAAAACGTCTAAGGCAAAAAAGGTGGGAAGAGAAGTGTGTAAACAGGGAGCCGGTGTTGTCACGGCAGAGTTAGGTTGACCACATGCTCCAGCTGTTTACATAGGTCGGTTTGAACCGCCTTATGTAGGCTGCCTCCAGGTAACCTAAGGTACGAGTTGTTCGTGCCCGAATAAGTACTCGGAAATAAGTTTTGGGATCCATGTCCGTGTCTAGCAGATGCTCGGTAGTCGATGAACAGGGAGTTCGGTTTTCCTGTTTCCATAACCAGCTAGATAAATGCTCCTTAGCTCTGGCGGCCAATTACCGTTGCATTCGCCCTATGTACTTGCATCCGCAAGTACATGTAAATTCGTAAACACAGTTTGAAGTGGCGTGCAACGGTAAGGCATCCTTCGCATAAGGAATTGAAAAGAGCTTGGTTGGATTGCAAATTATGAGTTCTGCAGCATAGTGAGTTTCTTTAATGGCGTTAAGTAAGCGTCTTTTGATGGTATTTAAAGTTTAAAGATGGT